GAATGTCATTTTACTATATTTCTATATTTTACTATATTTTACTATATTTTTTTACTATATAAGCAATTCTATATTCAAGCATGTTCCCATCACTTTTCGAGCAAATAATTGTTATTTCTTGTTTTCTGAGGATTCAAACAATATGATATTTTCCAAAATCTATTCAGATATACTTTGGGGGCTAAAATCGACACTTATTTAACTTCTCCTTTGCACGTTCAAGTATGCAAAGTACTAAAAGTAATAGTTCGTAGTTGCCTTTTATTAATATTGATTGCATAGGCGAAAATAAAATTACTGATATTTATAATTATCTTAATATTTATTAAGTTAAAAAAAATTCAGCCTGATAATAAATTTGATCACTAAGATCTCTCCTTATGATAAAGTTAGTATCCGATATAAAAAAGAAACAATCTTCATAGGAAAGCGAACTATTCTGATTCTGCGTGAAATTCATAAGATCCATTCGCAAAGTAAAGTTAATCCGTCAAACATCAGCGTTACAGGAGGATGTGAATTCCGAATTTTTATATTCATACATTCCTCTTTCTTTTGTAAAATTACTGTTTAGTGTAATAAAATATTAATAATAATATTTTTAATAATAATATTTTTATTATACTAATAATAATTTATTACATTAATAATAAAAGGATGTATAGTGAACATATATGGATACATATTTCATATACTGAGGGAAAAAAGATTCTAAATAACTTGGAAAATATAAATTTTATAGAAAAATATTTCAGATAGAAGTTGTAAATTATAAAAGGTTTTTAGTATATATTCATGCATGATAAATTTTTTCTGGAAAATAGCAACATATATCCGAATAATTCACTATTTTAACGTCTTTAGTAATGTTTATGTCTTACTTAAACTTATTTATATTTTTAAGCTGTCTTGTCAATTGTAAACATGATGGCGGATGATTGGATAGCATTCAAGCAAAATAGAGAAAGAAATGTGATGATAAAACGAGCACAAACAGCACGATTAATTACGATAATTGGACATGTTTGTGTAGTAATAGCGTTTTTCACATCGATTATTCTACCTTGGTTTAACATTTCAGTAGTGTACGTAGCGAATCTCACAGATGTGCGCAAACCGTTACCGTTGAAGACTTATCATTTCTGCAGTACAGATAAAAGTCCGCAATTTGAGTTAATATTTTTTATTCAGACTGTAACGATGTTGTTGGCAGCTACAATTTATATGTCTGTAGATACCTTTCTAGTTGTAATGGTTCTTCATATTTGTGGCCAGTTGGAAAACTTTAGATGCCGATTAATTGATTTGATTTCATGTAAAAATTTTAATGAAGTTTTAAACAACATTATAGAAACCCATTTACGCCTTATCAGGTATGAATTTTTATTATGACAATAGAATGTTTAACATTAATTAGAATTAATTTAGAAATATTATTGAAAAATTTTTTTCAAATTTATCTTAAACTTTAAATATTAAAATTTTTTATCTACATTTATATTTATTATAGAAAATTAAAATATGGATTAGCTTTAATATGTGTGGAATCAGATAAATTTTTTCTTTCTTTCTTAACTCAGTGATCATATTCATTGAAAACTTTATTACGTTTTATTCTCAGACAAATCAGCTGTAAAACTTGTTCATCAAAAATATTCTTATTAGCATATATAATGTAATAATTACATTAATTTTTATGCATTATTATTAGAAAAATTTAGGAATATGTTAAACGAATGAACAATAATGTATTTATTTTATGTTTAGATATATTATTAGATTCATGTTTAAATATATTATGTTATGGGCAAAGTCCACAAATGAGGACAATGCTGACATTGTATAGCAGTCAATTCGGGCAATGTCGACATTGTCCACTTACAAATTTTGACCATACCATATATATTTTTGAATTATATATGTATACACACATATATGTATGTAGTGTTTTATTGATTTAATACAATAATTATTTAATATTTTTTTAAATATTTGTTTTCTTGTAGATTTGCCGACAATATCGAAAATACATACTCTTTAATGATGATAGTATTGGTATTTCATTTTATTATTGTACTTTGCCTAAGTGGGTTTTCATTTACTATTGTAAGATTCGATAAAACACAAATGTGAGAAAATATTTTGTAGCAGGCATAGTACGCTTTCTTTGTTTCTGTGTAATATTTCAGATATTAACTGAGAAAAATATAAATAAGGCTGATATCGCACAAGGATACTTTTCATTATTACTTCTTATTATCGTTTTGATGAATACTTTTCTATATTGTGGGGCAGGAGAGCTTGTAGCAGAACAAGTAAGTTACAATAATATTATATATAAATAATATTGTATATAAATAAGGTTATTATATTATTATTCTGATATTATATCGTTATATTAATATTATGCTATTATTATATTACTATACTATTATACTAATACTTTTTGAAATAATTCTCATTGAAATATCATGGATATTAATATATTTTTTTATATACATTTGTTAAGTGTAATGCAGTATATCGTGCAATGTGCGATCTGGAGTGGTACGAATTAGAATCAAGTAAGGCAAGAAGTCTTATTTTGTTAATGATGCGAGCTAAATATCCTTTTTATATTACTGCAGGAAATATTTTTCCATTAACAATGACTACTTTTTGCAGCGTAAGATTATTTATACAATTCTGTCGTTTTAATTATATTCCTTTGCTGTTTAATGAAATATGTTTTACATTCTGTGCAACTTATCTCCCTCCCCCGTCCCCTCTCTCTCTTTCTCTCTCTCTCTCTCTCTCTCTCTCTCTCTCTCTCTCTCTCTGCGTGCATGCGTGCGCGTGTGTGTGTGTGTGCTTAAGGTGAGTCTGATAAGGAGTTCACCAAGTTTCTTTCGAAAATAGAGATAAGGGTGACCTATTATCAAAATTGTAGAAGTAAGGGGACATACGTTCATGATCTTGAACCTTAAAGCTTAGTTTTTTCACAATAAAAAAGATTTTTTTTTTAATGGGAAAGGTACATTTTAATCTTTTTATCGATAATACTCAATCAGCTGAATATCTTTGCATTAGAGTATTCCTTCGAAAACTCAACTATTTTTAGGATTATAAATTAAAAGAAATTAGATTATAAGTTTGAAACAAACTTTTATTATTATAATAAATATTCAAAATAAATTCATTATTTTGATCTATACATGTAGTCTTCGTGAAAGGAGTTTGCTTGGACTTTTTCTAACTTTTGAATCGTTATTTTTTTACTTTTTCTATTATGTTTTCCGAAGTAGAACGTTGAGAATTAGCTCTTTTATTTTTCATTTTTAACATCCTATTAATTCGAAAAACAAAACAGAAAATATAAAAAATATTTTTTCGCGAAATGATGATTTAAGAATTAGAAAAAGTTCTAGCAAGACTACGGGCATATTTAAATCAACATTGTGAACATTTTGAATATTTATTAATAATACAAAAATTTGTTTCAAACTTATAATCTAACTTCTTTTAATTCATATCCCGAAAATAATTAAGTTTTGGTAGTAAAAAGATTAACCTTTAAAGTTATTCAAAAGGTCATCAAAATGTTCCCCTATTTATCCCCTATTGATAATAAGAGTTTTTTCTCTAATATAAATTAAATAACAATCCTTGTAATAATTATTACACATTTATGACATTAAATTAAAAATACATTTATAACAATACAAATTAAATAGCCATTGTAGTTAATCAGAAATCTTGATTTTTACATATATACGTACACAAAATTGATGTTGATAACATATATCTCAAATGTCAGGAAATAACAATAACAATTAATTTTAGATATTAAAATCATCGGTTGGCTATATATCATTCCTATTAACAAAACATGATTGATGATATATTAACATTCAACATGCTGTATGAACATAAAAATAGATACATTCATGATTACAATATTACATAGTTACAAGTGGAGAAATTGACCTAGAAAATATGTAG